CTGACCAGCTTTTTGAATATGCTGATTTCATTTTCCAGCAGGATTTGGCACCTGCCCACACTGCCAAAAGCATCAAAAGTTGGTTAAATGACCATGGTGTTGGTGTGCTTGACTGGCCAGCAAACTCGCCAGACCTGAACCCCATAGAGAATCTATGGGGTATTGTCAAGAGGAAAATGAGAAACAAGAGACCAAAAAATGCAGATGAGCTGAAGGCCACTGTCAAAGAAACCTGGGCTTCCATACCACCTCAGCAGTGCCACAGGCTGATTGTCTCCATGCCACGCCGCACTGATGCAGTAATTCATGCAAAAGGAGCCCCTACCAAGTATTGAGTACATGTACAGTAAATTAACATACTTTCCAGAAGGCCAACAATTCACTAAAAAAAAATTTTTTTTATTGGTCTTATGAACTATTCTAATTTGTTGAGATAGTGAATTGGTGGGTTTTTGTGAAATGTGAGCCAAAATCATCACAATTAAAAGAACCAAAGACTTAAACTACTTCAGTCTGTGTGCATTTAATTTATTTAATACACCAGTTTCACAATTTGAGTTGAATTACTGAAATGAACTTTTCCACGGCATTCTAATTTATTGCGATGCACCTGTACTCCATGCAAATAGTGTATTTGTAGGGCTGCATGACAACTTACTGTGTATTATTTGTTTTAAATGTTTTTTTTTTTTGTTTTTTTTTTAAATGTGTCGTGCTTGCTGTACTCATTTGTATGGCCATGCAATTTGGCCAAAAATATATACATTTTTAAAGGAGTCATATGATGCGATTTCAGTTTTTCCTTTCTCTTTGGACTGTTACAAGCTCTTGGTGCTTAAAGAAGATCTGTAAACGGCTCATTCTAACACGCCCCCCACTTATCTAGGTCACTATGTGGGAAGATTTGCATAATGCCGCCCAAATGTTCACGCAAAGAAAGAAGGCATGACTTTTATTCTTGCTGTAGTATTGTTGTTGCCGCCGCCGCCGCCATGTCGTGAAGACGCTGTGTGTTTCATTGTGAAAGCGAAACTACTTTGTTTGGTCTTCCAAAAGAGGACACGACTAGAAATCAGTGGTTAAGTTGTATTTACAACACTGTTCCAGAACAGTTCAACCCAAATATTCAGATGTGTCCAGCGCATTTTACGGAGGACTGTTTCCTGAACCTGGCAGAGTAGACTACAATGCTGGCTTGTTCTGACTCACAGACTGTAAGTACGTTTTTTTTTTTTTTTTTTTTTTTTTTTTAAAACCATGTACAGCCTCCGGTGCGCTGCGGAGGAGAACTGCCTGGCCAGGTGCTGCTCGCCTGCTTTCAGAACGCTTCTTCTGCAAAGTTAGAGGAACCTTCCATTCTAGCATTCTGAGAATCTCACGAGAACGTCACATTTGAATGTTTCTCTCAACATCTAAAACATGCATTCTTTTTTTTTTTTTTTTTTTATATTTAAAGAATTTGCCACTGACGATTCAAACGCGAGTTTTGAGCAGTGTAGAGTAGCGTTTGTCATTTCTACAGTCACAAATGCAGACATGGTTTTATGTTTATGCAGCGCGATGCAATACAACGTGTAAAAAGACGGTATAAGTCATTATAATCCATAATTATGTAAGCCATCAAGCTTTTATTTTGGTGGAAAAATGCAGGAGGCCCTTAAAACCTCACGTTATGTTGACAACAGGTAGTTTGTTTATCTCATTACAATTTTGGGAAAATGGTTGGCGCTTTTTCAAGTGTACTTAAACTAATGGAGAGATGGAGTATGTGTAGAGCAGCATTTACTGTGAACCGAGATGCTAAAAACACCGGCTCATGAGCTGCTCATGTGTAAATAAACACAGTGCCACGCTTCACTCTGAAACATGCAGTGAATATATTATTTTATTAAATCACAACCGTAGCAATTAGATCTTTTTTTTAATTAATTGTGCAGCCCTACAAATACTTCTCTGCAAAAAATCAGGCCTTAACATGTTGCTAAGATAACAGTATGCCACTCTAAGCATAAACATACCATGTACACACTGAGTAAATTAGTCGTTAATATCTTTTGGTGTTGCATGAAATGTGTATTTATACTCAACATTTCCCACTCTTTGTCGGCCATCTTGGATTATTGATGCAATGCATTCTAGAATTACCTTCATCATGAAGTATACACTCGATGCTGCATCAGAATAGAAGATATCTTGCCCATGATACTTTAAATGTTGCCTATGATGGCAGCTCACTAGACTTTGGAACAAATCAAAAATGTGTGTTTGTTCTAATACACTGGTGTGATTTATAGGGGCTGTGACAAGCGTTTATGGACGCGAATCAGTCTGAGCCGCTGCCGCTCTATAAGTCCACAGGCCCTCACGGGCATCATCAAACGGCAGCCTGTCACACTGGACCTCTCCTGGGCCAAAATCTCCAAGAAGCAGCTCAGCTGGCTCATCAACCGCCTGCCAGGTGCCTGTTCTCCCATCACCACTGCATCTGTTTTAATACACAGTACATTTTATGATATTACTTACAGGCAGCTCTCTCACAGGCCTTAAAGATCTGGTGCTATCAGGGTGCAATTGGGCGTCAGTCTCTGCACTGAGCTCTCCAAGCTGTCCTTTACTGCGCTCTTTAGACCTGAGCTGGGCCGATGGTGTCAAAGATGCACAAATCAGGGAGCTGCTGAACCCACCAGGTAATCCTAAGACAACTCAACTGTTATTTGTTGCTATTTCTTGTATTACATGGTGTGTGATATTGACAAGAAAAATGTCTCAATATTTTCTGGGATTTTGATGATAATGATAATTAGACAGAGTGTGTTTGTGCTGGTGCCTTGGCTGGTTGTGGTCTGTCATGGACAGCTGACTGCCTAAGCTTGTCGTATTCTGTGCAGTGGTCAGTTCACAGCAGTATTTCAAATTAATTTCCATTATGGGGCAATATTTGTCCCCTTAAACTAATTTAAAGGTAATTTTTACCTTTTTTTTACTCAACTACATGTATCATCTTTTGTCAAATTGTTACTTTTATCAATAATTTCAATTAGAATAATAAGACATTTACAATTAAAATCAACAAAATCCATCTTTGCACTGCAGCGGTGGCACAGAAGGTGCATCTGAAAAGGCATGTATTTACACAGACTTTAATGCAGCTCAAAAGTGGGTTGCATGCATTTTACAATTGCATTTTTATTTTTTTAAAAGTAATATTTAATTATGAAATGGTTTTAAGAAATTGAAATGGTGATTTAAGTATGAAACACAAACCGGTAGTGGGTGGTGGCAAGTCACTGTCTTAATGGAATAGTTAATATTTTGGGTGAACCATGCTTTTAATGAGTTAAACCATTAAGTCATTCGTTCAGCTGGCTGATTCATTTGACCATTTAATTCATTAAATTGATTCATTCAAAATGCAGATTCACTCACTTATAAAGCACTGCTATGTGTTGCTTGGAGATGCAAAACAAGGCACAAGAACACATGAGTGGCATACCTAATATCGTAATTTTTAATGATGTGCAAACTGAAATTATCGTAGGCGATACTTATTGCGCACCACTCCTTGAATCCCGTGTCTGTGTGTCTGTAGGCAGTGATAACCGTTCCCAGATGAAGAACATGCAGTGCTTGTGGCTGTGTGGTCTGGAGGTGACCGAAGCCACGCTGAGGCTGATCATCAGACACATGCCTCTGCTCACTCGTCTGGAGCTCTCGCATTGTCCCATCACAGATGGTGCTCTCAACCTCCTCAGCGCCGTGGGCTCCTCCACACGCAACACACTCACACACCTCAACTTAGCAGGTACGCATGTGTGATATTGACAAGAAAAATGTCTCAATATTTTCTGGGATTTTGATGATAATGATAATTAGACAGAGTGTGTTTGTGCTGGTGCCTTGGCTGGTTGTGGTCTGTCATGGACAGCTGACTGCCTAAGCTTGTCGTATTCTGTGCAGTGGTCAGTTCACAGCAGTATTTCAAATTAATTTCCATTATGGGGCAATATTTGTCCCCTTAAACTAATTTAAAGGTAATTTTTACCTTTTTTTTACTCAACTACATGTATCATCTTTTGTCAAATTGTTACTTTTATCAATAATTTCAATTAGAATAATAAGACATTTACAATTAAAATCAACAAAATCCATCTTTGCACTGCAGCGGTGGCACAGAAGGTGCATCTGAAAAGGCATGTATTTACACAGACTTTAATGCAGCTCAAAAGTGGGTTGCATGCATTTTACAATTGCATTTTTATTTTTTTAAAAGTAATATTTAATTATGAAATGGTTTTAAGAAATTGAAATGGTGATTTAAGTATGAAACACAAACCGGTAGTGGGTGGTGGCAAGTCACTGTCTTAATGGAATAGTTAATATTTTGGGTGAACCATGCTTTTAATGAGTTAAACCATTAAGTCATTCGTTCAGCTGGCTGATTCATTTGACCATTTAATTCATTAAATTGATTCATTCAAAATGCAGATTCACTCACTTATAAAGCACTGCTATGTGTTGCTTGGAGATGCAAAACAAGGCACAAGAACACATGAGTGGCATACCTAATATCGTAATTTTTAATGATGTGCAAACTGAAATTATCGTAGGCGATACTTATTGCGCACCACTCCTTGAATCCCGTGTCTGTGTGTCTGTAGGCAGTGATAACCGTTCCCAGATGAAGAACATGCAGTGCTTGTGGCTGTGTGGTCTGGAGGTGACCGAAGCCACGCTGAGGCTGATCATCAGACACATGCCTCTGCTCACTCGTCTGGAGCTCTCGCATTGTCCCATCACAGATGGTGCTCTCAACCTCCTCAGCGCCGTGGGCTCCTCCACACGCAACACACTCACACACCTCAACTTAGCAGGTACGCAAACGCACACCAACCCGTTTACAGATCCCAAATAAGGAGTGGACACATTAAACACGAATGAACCATTCTTCCCTGTTTGATGTCGTCGTCAGGTTGCAGCCGCCTGACAGACCGTTGTCTGGTGTATCTGCGGCGTTTGTCCTGTCTCTCCGTACTGGACCTGGGCGGCTGCAAAGGGGTCTCGCGGCAAGCGTGCGAAAGCTTTATCTCCGAGCTGTCTGTCAATGCCCTCTACTGCCTATCAGATGACAAGCTCATCCAGAGGATATCTTAAAACCCGCCTTCCTCGGGGAGAGAGAGACTTTGTGAATATTTGTTTGACTGAGAAGGACTGCAGAGTCCGAATGTGTGTGAGTGATGGCTTCTGTAGGTCTGTAGGGAGGCTCTCTGACAGAGGACCGGGTTTCATGTATAGCAGCTTAGGAGGGAGGGGCTCAAAGCATCCAGGGTGGGGCTTATGTATAAATAGGTCTGGGTGATGAGTATTCTTTTGTAGTTAACTATTTCCCTTTTTTCTGTGTTCACACAAACACTGCAATTGGCAATCAGATCGGTTCTCAGGCCTGTCATGCCATGGGCTCTTCTATTAAAGAGATCAACAGGTGCTATTCCTTTACAGTTTGATTTCTATTTCAGAGCAGCTTTCTGTCTGCCCTTAAAAACCTTCGCTTCTACTGTTGTCTGATACTCTAATCCATTGTCCAGATCCCATCATCTAGACGCAGATTCATTTATCCTCAGTAGTGTGGAGGTTTTGCATTGCATTTCTTTTTTTCCCCCCACTCATCCCCTTACTTTAAATGTCATTTTACTTGAGGAATACCTTTTTGTTCTTAATTCCTCTCCCTCCTTAATACCTGAGAGTATAGAGATATATAAATAAACACCCTTGTGTAAATGTATTCCTCTCCTGTAGTAGAAGTTTTTCCACTTTTTTTCTTTTTCTTTTTCAAGAAAATAAAAATAATGATAAAAATGTGAGCTTGAATTGATTTGAATTAAGTGGAGAAGCCGAAATCTGCATTGGTTAACCGATTAGCTAATTGCTGTGTGATTGGTTTCGATGACTTACAACACTGGATATAAATTAATTCCAATGGCTGCCCTGTGTTAGTATGGTGGGTAGTCATATATTGCACATGATGATTCATTTATTCACCATAGAATTTGGCAACCGAATGTCTTCATTCAACCATCAACAGGGAAAAAGATTACGGCTTTTATTGTTCCTGCCTAGTGTACAAATCTGATTTCAGCTCATCCCTGTTTTGATGCTGATAAGATGAACTTTTCAGTACGTTCTCTCTGTTCTCAGGTGGGTTTCTAAATTCAGTACATACTGATGTCTGATCTCAAAATGTTTATGAATTCAGCAATGTGCTATTCAGATTCTGTCTGGTTTTAAATGAGTTTGTACATTCAGGACACAAATGTTGTCTGATCTCAGATGAGTGTTTAAATTTAGCACATGATCCAGTCTAAGAAATCCCTGTCTGATGTTATTTGGTGTCAGATAAATATCTGCTTCTGATGTTGTGGTCATTAGGGCTGGGTTTTGACACAAATTTCACGATTCGATTCTCATTCACAAGCTTTCGATTCGATTACCGATTCAATCTCGATTAATTAATTTGGATACATGTGCATGCCAAATTTTCTCATGGAAAAAAATCTCTCAACTAATGCTGTAAAATCTAGCCTACATGAGAGTCAGTTGGTACTAAATTACTATAATATTGAAGGTTAAAATTGACTGATTTGTTAAAATTACACTTAAAGTTTTTAAAATGGTTACAATTACATAATATTTCTACTTCAATTAGTTTTTTTTTAAATATAAACATAATGGTGGCTGTCATAAAACTTGATGTATTTATTCAAACATAAATTAAACCTTGAAGAACTGTAAAATGTATAATGAATATGTTATATGGTGCATATATTTAGCAAAATGCCCCTCTCTACAGTTTATTTTTCTATCTTACTAATGAGTTTATGGTCACCGAATATGTTTTTCTGAGGTAAATGTGACGTTACGTGACATTGTTTACAAACCGTTATATTGGCATCTTTGTGTGGCTGAAACACTGATTGAGCGATTACATGAGACAGGATATGGATTGTAAAGGTGTACTCTCTTTTAACACCTTTGGATGTTTAGTCATGTTTATTTTGTGCTGAAACTGATCCTCCAAATTAATATCAGTTCACGTGCGCCTCGCGCTGCCGCGTCTGTTGATCTGAGGCGCTACAGCGATCTGTCACTTCACATTAAACAGCACCAAAGCGGCATTTATTGTTTAAATATTGTAATACAATGGACAGAATTTGAAATCTGAGACTGTTTCATATTAAAAGTACCAAAGCACAATGTGTGATATATTGGATGGGAAGTGCCCTTCAACATTCTGTCCATTAACTGAAAACAGGCTAGAATAATCGATTCTTGGGATTTAAGAATTGATATTGTTCCATAAAAATTATAATCGATTAATATCGAGAAATCAATATTTTTTACCCAGCCCTAGTGGTCATGATGCTATCTGATTTCAGATAACTATAAATTCAACTGTTGCTCTGATGATCTCAGAATGGTTTATAAATGGTCTAATGCTGAGTTCATTAGAACAAACCCGTCTATTCTAAGGTGGTTTTATAAATTCAAAACATCCCAGACTGCTGCAGTCTGATCTCAAATGTTTAGCGACATGCCATTCCAATTCCGGTCTTAAATTAATTTTGTTAGACATGAACATACATCTGCATTACACTTCTTTGTCAAGGATAACACAAAGCAACAACTTATTTCCATTGTGGTCCTTGATATTAGAAGAAAACAATTTTTGTGACGACAGGCATTTTTGGCATACATTTCATACTAATTACAAAAAACATAATTTTCACTCTCAAACATGCACCACAGAGGCAATCTTCACAGCAGTACAATAATCCAAATCTGTCAAATTTTAGACAGCCCATCTAAAAACAACTTTTACTAAAACCCTCATAATCTGTCCTTAATGTCCGAAGGCAACTTATTCCACTCCTGTGCACCTGAATACGTCCATACAAAGCCTTAACCTTACATAAATTAAAATCCATCTAGTAAAATGACCATGTCGTAATTTAACCTGGGAAAAATAAGAATTAAAATACACTGGAGCTCAATTATTAATTATTTTATGTACCATTTTTAGATTCAGAAGTGCCAATCTTTTTTTAATAGTTAACCATACAAAAGTGTCCATTTTCCATTTGACTAAAACATTGTAATCATAAAACTAATCTCACCAATTTTTGTGACTTCTGTAACAATCCACATTGTGCCATCCACATTCTAGATAAATCAATCATCCAAGAGTTCCATGCATACTCAATGACATTGAACACGTCTTATAGCAAGCACCCTTAAACATTCATGATCTAAAAAACTAGTATATCTTGGAATTTTTTTTATTCTAGCATGTACTTTCCGCAACACTTTCCAAACCATATTTACTCCACTTAAATTATCTAAAACACAGCCAAGATAACAAACCGATTTTCTATTTGCTAGGACATAACCATCAACTTTGATTGCCAAGTCCTTTGCCTTATGCAATTTATAATTTGACCCAAAGAGTGAATGGATAGATGTAATAAAAGCTTATTTTCAGTCAGTCATTCCTTCACCTTAACCAGCTCCTCACCTAATTCCTCCTGAATTCGTTCAGTCTCCATATCTGCAACTAAAAGAGCAGCATCATCAGCATATAAAAACATATTTCCCTCACATGCAGCCTGAATATCGTTTATATATAATAAAAACAATAGCGGACCAAGTACGCTACCCTGCAGAACCCCATTATTTAAGACAGAGAATGGATAGATGTAATAAAAGCTTATTTTCAGTCAGTCATTCCTTCACTTTAACCAGCTCCTCACCTAATTCCTCCTGAATTCGTTCAGTCTCCATATCTGCAACTAAAAGAGCAGCATCATCAGCATATAAAAACATATTTCCCTCACATGCAGCCTGAATATCGTTTATATATAATAAAAACAATAGCGGACCAAGTACGCTACCCTGCAGAACCCCATTATTTAAGACACAATATTCAAGACACAATGCCATGATCTCAGATGAGTTTATAAATTTAGCACATGATCCTGTCTGTCTTATGTTAATTTATCTCGGATCAATTCTGTTTCTGATGCTGTCTGATCTCAGATCAATTTACAAATTCTAGTGCATGATGCTGGCTCATCTCAGGCAAGTTTATAAATTCAGCTGAAGATGCTGTCTGATCTCAAATGAGTTTATAAATTGTCATCATGATGCCACCTGGTTTCAAATAACGAACACAATGCTATATGATCTCAGATAAGTTTGTAAATTCTGTATATGCTGTCTGATCTCGGAAGGGTTTCTGAATTAAGTACATCCCAACCTGATGCCATCTAAAGCCAAATGAGTTTATAAAATCAGCAACATGCCATGCTGAGTCTGTCTGATCTTATATACATTCAGAACCCAATGCTGTCTGATCTCAGATGAGTGTATAATATATAAATCCTGTCTGATGTTATTTAAATGTCAGATAAATATTTCTGATGCTGTCTGACCTCAGTTAAGTTTAAAAATTCAGCATGATGCTGTCTGATCTCAGATGAGTTTATAAATTCAGCTCAATGTGTTGTCTGATCTCAGATGAGTTTATAAATTCAGCTCAACGTGTTGTCCGATCTCAGATGAGTTTATAAATTCAGCTCAACGTGTTGCTCGATCTGATGAGTTTATAAATTCAGCTCAACGTGTTGTCCTCGATCTGATGAGTTTATAAATTCAGCTCAACGTGTTGTCCGATCTCAGATGAGTTTATAAATGCAGCTCGACCTGTTGTCCGATCTCAGATGAGTTTATAAATGCAGCTCGACCTGTTGTCCGATCTCAGATGAGTTTATAAATGCAGCTCGACCTGTTGTCCGATCTCAGATGAGTTTATAAATGCAGCTCGACCTGTTGTCCGATCTCAGATGAGTTTATAAATGCAGCTCGACCTGTTGTCCGATCTCAGATGAGTTTATAAATGCAGCTCGACCTGTTGTCCGATCTCAGATGAGTTTATAAATGCAGCTCGACCTGTTGTCCGATCTCAGATGAGTTTATAAATGCAGCTCGACCTGTTGTCCGATCTCAGATGAGTTTATAAATGCAGCTCGACCTGTTGTCCGATCTCAGATGAGTTTATAAATGCAGCTCGACCTGTTGTCCGATCTCAGATGAGTTTATAAATGCAGCTCGACCTGTTGTCCGATCTCAGATGAGTTTATAAATGCAGCTCGACCTGTTGTCCGATCTCAGATGAGTTTATAAATGCAGCTCGACCTGTTGTCCGATCTCAGATGAGTTTATAAATGCAGCTCGACCTGTTGTCCGATCTCAGATGAGTTTATAAATGCAGCTCGACCTGTTGTCCGATCTCAGATGAGTTTATAAATGCAGCTCGACCTGTTGTCCGATCTCAGATGAGTTTATAAATGCAGCTCGACCTGTTGTCCGATCTCAGATGAGTTTATAAATGCAGCTCGACCTGTTGTCCGATCTCAGATGAGTTTATAAATGCAGCTCGACCTGTTGTCCGATCTCAGATGAGTTTATAAATGCAGCTCGGTGTGTTGTCCGATCTCAGATGAGTTTATAAATTGTGGTCTTATGCGGTCTAAATTTCAGATATCCATGGATTCAACATGTGATGCGATCTGATCTCAGCGTAGTTTATAAATTCTGTATATGATGCTGTCTGATCTCAGAAGGATTTGTGAATTTACCACATCTTTCTGATGTTATCTGATCTCAGATGTGTTTCTTTTTTTCTGATTTGGTCTTTGATAAGTTTGTTTGGTGGCCTGAGTATTGTGCACATGATGCTTTTGCGTTTGTAATTTGTGGTCATGATGCA